GTTTAGTTTAGTTTAGTTTAGTTTAGTTTAGTTTAGTTTAGTTTAGTTTAGTTTAGTTTTGTTTTGTTTTAGAGACAGGGTTTCTCTGTGTAGCCTTGGCTGTCCTGGACTCACTTTGTAGACCAGGTTGACCTTGAACTCACAGAGCTCCACCTGCTCTGTCTCTCAGAGTGCTGTGATTACAGTTGTATATAAAGGTTTATTGAAAATTCAGATTCTTTTTTTTTTTCAGTTCAGTATTTCAAGAGAAGAAATTCGTCTTTTCAATTAAGTCAATTATTGTACTATTTTCTTCCTACATTCAACAGTTTAAAATACTGTTGACATTTTTTTTACTCTATTTTAGTATTGTCTCAGAAATATTTTAGAAATTGTCTCAAGTTTGTTTGTTTGTTTTGTTTTTTGTTTTTCAAGACAGGGTTTCTCTGTGTAACCTTGGCTGTCTTGGACTTGCTTTGTAGACCAGGCTGACTGCAAACTCTGAGATCCACCTGCCTCTGCCTTCCCAGGTGCTGGTATTACAGGCCTGTAAAAAATTCAAGTTTTAAAGGCAACTGGAAACTTGAGGTCACCAGCAGGTGAGCAAAGGCCTTTAATTTAACACCTTCTGTTTTCTGACGGTTGAGTCACTCTGCCCCGATGCCTGAGCAGGTTCTTTGTGTGATGCCTTACGTTACAAGCCTCGGCAAGAGCTCCCCGTTAATTACCTCTAAGATTGGGCAACTTGGGTACCCAGTTTCCAGTCATCCTCAAGCAAGAGGGAAAGGCTGTTTCTCACTGGTCCCGAAGCAGACCCGCCGAGCTGCCTCTCTTGTGCTGGTGAGCCTGCTGCCTCTCCACACTGTCTCACTCTGGCCGCCACGTGTTCTCGTGAAGCCCACTTCAGTGCCCCCTCAGTGGCAGAGACCTCATACCTTAGCCGGTACACACGGCACCCTTCGCGCACCAGCATACAGGACTTTCCTTCATTACACTGAACACATCCATCAGTGATTACCCATTCAAATAAAACCAATAATCTTCTTCTTTTTTTGAAACAGGGTTTCTCTGTGTAGCCTTGGCTGTCCTGGAGCTCATTCTAGGCCAGGCTGACCTGGAACTCAGAGATCTGCCTGTCTCAGCCTCTTGAGTGCTGGGATTAAAAATGTGTGCCACCATCACCCAGCTTAAAACTAGTAATTTTTAAATAAACAAAATTTTCCTACTATTTAAGACAAAAAAAAAAAAATTCCCTTTCTTTTATCTCTAAGTAACACAGACTCTGACTCTGGCATATATGATTATTTTCCTGACTTTTTTTTTCTTGCCTCTGTGTTTTTCTTTTGTTAATTCATTTCTCTCTTTTGGAGCTGCTTCTCATACTCATCTCCCCATCTCCCCTTCAGAAGTCAGGAGCACGGGGCAGCGTGTAAGACACTCCACTTTCTGACACAGCCTTGGCTTCCCACACGCAAAGCTTATGGATGGTGCTCAGATTCCCACTGGGCCAAGACAGTCCGACAGACACACTTGCTCACACCTCCAAGCCTCATTCGTGTTTCTACCGTGAACACTGTACAGTAGGAAACATGACAGAAGCCACAGCCAGATGTGGAACTAGGAAGACAGACTCATAAACAAGCCCTGGTCCAGGGAGATGGTTCCGTGAGTAACGTGTTTGTCCTACAAATATGAGGACCTGAATATGGGTCACACACATAAAAGGTGACCATGGTGGTCTGTGCCTGTAACCTCGGCCCCGAGGGACAAAGACAAGCAGATCTGGGTCCTTGCTGGCCAACCAAATCTAGTCAAAATCAGTTGAGTTTAAGGTTGAGAGATACACCATTTTAAAAAATAAGGTAGAGAAGCAAGTGAAGACATGTTAATGTCCATCTCTGGCCCCTACACGCTCACCCACAGTGCACCTGACACACGTGTACATCTGTACACACATATGTGCCATATATACACACACCCTGAGTATACACACACTCCATGAGCATATACACACAGTCCACTCAAACATATACACGCTCCATGATAGTGGAGCACACACACACACACACACGCGCGCACTCGTCAACACACGAGCACTCATCAACACTGTCCAAGCACTGTCACATGTCAATGACCAACCCTCAGACACAGCTGCAGACCTAAAAGCAGACCTGGCCCAGGGCCCCACCACTGTCATAGGGCCATTTCCCCCATCACTGTCATAGTGCCATTTACAAGTTAAACATTTAGATATGAAATTACTACAGTTAACAATTACTCATCTAAATCTAAACTCCAAAATTAACTATATAATAGTCACAAATCAAAATAAGAGGTATTGTTAGCATAGCTAAGATAATCTTACCAGGCTTGCCAATGCAAAATCTTATTTTAAAAACTAAAATACAGAAACTCTTTAGTTTTTTTTTTTGTTTTGTTTTTGTTTTTTTTTTTTAATCTTCACAACCACTGACAGTTTCACATAGAGAATTGTGGCTTTCTCCTTAATTATTAACTTGACCCTGGAAATTTCATCCCAGTATTACTGAAAATAGCTGAGAGTTAGGCTCAAGCCTACAAATGCACATCAGGCAGCTGGAGATCACAGACTATAACCAGGAATTGGACAATTAAGCAGCAATTTAAAAAGAAACCCTTTTTTAATGTGTTACTGAAAATGGACTGCTTGCACTTGACCTCCTCAGCACACCTGGCTTATTCTGCTCCCGTCTCATACTCCCATACTCCCATACTCCTGCCTGGTCTGAGATCCACAGAGAGGAAGCCAAACAGAGCCACACTATTCCGAGATGGCCCAGACCTTGGCAGAGCAGGAAGCCTCCCTCCATCATATGGCCGGTGGAGAGCTGGCAGGTGCCCAGCCTAGACCAGTGAGCAAGAACTTTCTTCAACTGACTCTCAATCAGTGTGGGAGGGGGATGAGGGTGAGGCCTGTATGTCCACGATCTACCACTAAATGAAAATTTAAATACCATGGATGCTTCCAACACAAAAATGTATATATACTTGAAAATATCTGGGAGAGGAACTGGAGGGATGGCTCAGAGAGGAAGAGCACTGTCTGCTCTTCCAGAGGTCCTCAGTTCAAGTCCCAGCAACCACATGGCGGCTCATAACCGCGTATAATGAGATCTGGTGCCCTCTTCTGGCATGTAGCTGTACATGCAGGCAGAACATTGCATAACAAATAAATAAATAAATAAATAAATAAATAAATAAATAAATAAATAAATAAATAAATAAA